CGAAGTAATTGAATTTAGAAAAATAGATGAGGCTGTCAGAATTGGAAGATATTTTGCTGATTTAAATTTTTGGGTTTTATGTATAATAAAATATAATTTAGTAAACCTCAATAGTTTGTTTCTCTCTCTTGCAAATAGACCCTTCCACAAATTTATAGGTAGAAGCTCCAAGGAAATAAACACCATCAATATAACGCTCGCCATTTACCATCTAACTAATTACATAGAGTACTTGGGGCGTTTTGCTACACTCTACTGAAACAGCACTACATTACCTCGTCCAGCGGGTGAAATGATGTACTTTCAGTTACCGTTTATAATACGGTTACAAACAGTTAAGTCGCTAAAAAAGTATGCAAGCATTGCAAGCAAAAACCAGCGGAATCATAGCCTGTGGTGCAAACACCCCAAGGATGATACACACTACTTAACAACTACAGGATGGCCTATCCTCATAAAGCTTAATTCCCACCTGCGCGAAATTCGCTCTTTTTTGAAATTGCTTTAAAAATTTCACGTTCATTACACGCATAAAACGGCAAATTGTCGAAGCAATGTCAATAAAAGAGCGAGTTTCGCGCAAGCGAGAATGTGGCAAATGTGTAACAAATCCCCCTCTCGGCCCCCATTTATATTTGGTGGGAGTGCGTCGCACCGGTTTCACACTCACACTGAGTGTGTCATTCCTGAACTCGCCCCTGACCAAGAATCGTAAACTCTACGATTGCTCAATCGGCTTAATTTGTTTACAATAGTTTCCCAAATACTATTCCCTAAAACTCAATAATAACTTGGTGAAAAATGTTTAAAATTTCGCGCGAATTAAAAGCATTTCAAACGACCTTAAATCTGGATGACGTCACGTAGTATGATTTTGCGTTAAGCCGGCGCCACACGATGTCTCCAACCATTGGCCCCAACGTTATATCCAACGTTGGGTACAGTATTTTTTGCTCTAGCATTCGGCAAATGCACATACCTACTTACTTTTGTTACTATAAACATATCACAAATTATAGATTGGCGGATTGCCCTTTGGAATTTCCTTCTTTGGTCATAATTAATAGGTATATCGTTTTATTTATATAATGCTAGGCTAATCATTGAATTTAAGCGAAGTAAACCAATTCTAATATTGATAAAATTTTAAAAAATCAGAGAAAAACGTAAATAAACACAGCTAACGGGTATTTATTATGTAGAGTTCGAGTAAACGCTCGGAGTTGCTGTTTTGTTCTGTTATCCCTGTTCTTCTCATCATAAGAAAAAAAGACGGAAAATGCTCCGAGTGCTCAGTGTTTCAAGACGAACTCACGGTATGATGGACGGTTGCTGACAGACACTGACAAATCATACTACATGACGTCACGACCAGTACCAGAGCGTTTTTTCCCGCTGGAAATAATTTGAATTTTTTTGCATTTTCAATTCCTTATTGTGGCCGTTTGCGACAAAAAAAAATTGTTTTTTTCGCTGATATAGGTTTTAATTAATGTATTCTTATGATTTATAGTAATATTTTCATGTTTAAATTTTTTGTCAAGTTCCCTATTGTGACGTCACGTGCATCCCGGATTTTCAAGATGGCCGCTGATACGAATGATGTTCAGTTTGTGCTGACAATTATTTTATCGTAAATTCGGATTTATCAAGTGTTATAAGTGTAATTTAAAGTTTCATTTAATGTGTGTAAGCATAAAAGACTCCTGGCTGAAAATACTCGCGAAAACCCCAAGCATTTTCTGGTTTTACTGGATTTGTTGTATCAGGACATCGCTTTCTTTTATTCGTGTGTATTGCTAGTTTTCTACTGTTAGTATTTCCTAGTCAAGCATTTGTATTGCTTTTTTTTTGTAAATCAAATATCTTCTTAGTTGTAAGTTTCCTTTGCATGTAATTACTAAAAATTAGTGTTTGTGAAGAGTGAAATAAATAAATATGTAAATAAATTCCTCTACTGGCGCGTTTACTATGAAAAAGCATGGAGAATATGGGAAACTTGCAGTGTTTTTCTGGAATATGATTATGAAAATCTAAATCAGGAATCACTATTTGGCTTTGTGAAATAAGCATACTTTGAATGTCCATATTAAATCGTTCTAGTACCTATTAAACTATTGAATAATAATTGAGAAGTAGGTAGGGGCAGTAAAAAATAAAACACACTATTGCAACCACGTTTCGCTTATATTTTGATATTGAAATGTAAAAATTGAACCGGCTCGCTCAAGTTGGCACCCCACATTTGGTTTTCTACTGCTTCTCAACTGTAGTCAATTGTACCCGTTTTGTGCTCAATTGTGCCAGTATTTGCGAATTGTGCTCATTTCCATACACAAAAAAAACATTGAAACAAATCCGGGGGCCAGCTTGACTCCAGCCCTTCATTTTTTTGACTTTTTGGCAATATGTTTGGCTAATTGATAAACAAAAGCAAACAAACTTGTCTTTCAAATTAGTCAACCACTAAGGACACAAACTTTTGAAGTCTGCTAGACCTATCTATTTTATCAGACAAAGAGGTAATAATACGAAAACTTCATTAGATAAAAAAAGACACAGAATGCTCATTGCGCAAGACGAGGCAAAACGTACCAAATTATGTTAGACTTACGTATAGCAATCCGTCCGTCTTACTTGCTCGGGATAAAAAGGGAAGGAGAAAGACCGCGTGTTGTGCAACGTATTTGTCAATGAAAATTTCAAACAACTTTTAAATGACATTTGTCAACTTGAATATCAACTGTACATTGATTCTTGTCAGACCACGGGCAATGAACAAGGACAAGGAGATGCCCAGATGGCAAAACGATCACCTCTCACCTGTACTAGGTAGCCAATAAAAATGCATTGCCTCGTGTTGCGCGCGCATACCAGGTAAAAATAGATAGGTCCATAACCTCAAAATAACAATTTTTCACGTTTGAAAATGCGAGGAAAGTGCACTGTCATAATAAAACACAAACCGATCAAGGACTGCGTGACGTCATTCGCATACCGCTATCTTCGATGTTTTTATGAACGTTTGTCTTATGGGATTGAGCAATCCTGTAGAGTTTACGATTCTTGCCCCTGACGACTTAGTTTTGGGGGGCCGGATTCTATTTTACGAGTCGAGTTGAAATTCGTATCGAATTGTCAAAATAGCGATTCTATTTTTCGATTTTTCCATACGTATTACACGGTACGTCCGGAGCTGTCGTATTTGATATCGAGACAATTCGATTCGACTCGTAAAATAGAATCCGGGGGCTGACGTCGGAATTGATAATAGGAATGTCAATTTTTATTAAAACACCGGTTTTTCCATTAACCGGTTAATTGAGTAACAGTTTTAACTGCCCGGTTATAACTGATATTAAACACCGGTTATTCCGATTAACTGGTTGTTCGGTTATTTTTCCGAATTTTATCAGAATAATTGCATTATTAATTCTATAATGTAAAATTAATTAAACAACAACCTATCTTTATTGTAAAAAAAAATCGGGAACTGTTACGTGCTAAGAAAAATCATCAAAGAATACCTACACTTTTCTTCTCTTCTGTCATTTAAAACATGTACCCATTGAGAAAACAATCCGCTGCTGAACGAATGAACCAAAACTGAAATGAAAATGAAATACTACAGATAGGCACTACTATCGGTTAAAGAATGTGGAAATAGGTATTCGACTGTTGTCGCTTATTCAATATTTTACAATTTATTTAATAAGACAAGAGAAAAGTCTACATGTTTCACTTTTACCGGTTATTAGGTATGAAACCCGGTTATCCGGTTATAACTGGAAGCAAAAAACAACTGGTTTTAACCGGTTAACCGAAAAGTAAACACCGGTTTTTCGGTTTTAACCACCGGTTATTGACATCCCTAATTGATAACACACCAATATGGTGGCGATTACCAAAAACGAGGCCGATAAGCAATCCTGTAGGTGTGTATCAATCTTGCAAACACCCTACGTCACGTCGAGAAACGGCACGCTGCCTACGTCTTCACTGGTACTTGGCGTGGTGGGGGCTTGTGATTTGATCTACACAAGCCTATAATGATTTTGACCAATCAGAAGTGATTCTCGACTTAAAAAAAAACGAAACTGATAGAAACATTTACAGATAAAAATATCCAAAGAAATTATCTTTTGTAAAGTACATCTTTACAAAATAAACAGAGATGGCATCGGAAAAGCAATACGAATTTCCCAATAATATTAATTTTTTCACTCACAAAAAAGTAAAAACGTCTGCAATATTTTCGCGCGCTGTCAAATTTGAATATATGCGACATGGTAAAAGTTGTTGCGCGTGTCTCGAACCTATGGTTAAGAAATCTGTAGGTACTACAGAATCGGTACTAGTACTAATACTAGTTCAGAATCGACACAGAGTCGATTGTGTTTGAACCGCGAACAAAGAACCGTAATAAAAATTTGGAAACCTGTGCTCTGTGGGCTGCGGCGGCTGTCGATTCCGATTATTCGTAATTTTACAAGTGCCGACTTTCAGACATTTGGCTATGGACTATCATTATGTATGTGGCGACATCTATAGGTTGAGTAAAACATTATTTGCAGAACCAATCTCAAATCCGATCCAGGTGGATCGAGAAAACACAGATTTCAATGTCCATGAAATAATAAAAATTGGGATATATTTGCATCTTATCTTTACTATATTGCGATGTATGTTGGTTGAAGTGAGCATTTAAATTCACAATTATAAAAATTTATAATATATACCGGATAAATAACATTTCGAAGCTAATATTCTACATGTCAGGATGGCCGAGCGGTCTAAGGCGCCAGACTCAAGGTTACCTTGCCTACTCTGTAGGTTTCGAGCGTTCTGGTCCTCATCTGAGGGCGTGGGTTCGAATCCCACTTCTGACAAAACTTTTTGAACTTTTTTTATTGTTTAAATATCGTTTGCATGTTTTTTCTTCAAATATTGAATTTGTTATTGTCGGTAGAAGCATTGTCGAGTTGTTATTGTTCATAAAAATGGCAAATTCTTTAAAACATTTACTAATTTCACCTACATTTTTATCTCCTTTATCGCCTTCTAGAAATTTAGCGAGTTTCCCGCGTTTCCCCAAAAGTGAAGGAGATAAAATATTTATACGGCAAATAACCAGGTAAAATTTCAATTAATTAGGTAATTCAAAAAAGATACAAATATTATGAATTCCTCATTACAGACCAAAGAAAGTTGCAAAAAAGTTAGATTTTTCACAAACCAAAGAAAATTTTATTGCTAGAAGTAGTACCAATCTTCCAGATATTAGAATTGTAGATGATACTCGAGGGAATGTGCAACAGAAATTAAGGCAAAATCATATTTTAAATATAAATACTCCAGTTAAATTAGATTTAGTGAAAAATGGTTTGGAAAAATTCAAAAACAGTACCACGGTTTTAGGCAAGGGTACTTTTGGTACCGTTTTTAAAGGATCACACAGAGGTAAATGAGTTTTTCAAAAATATTATGAATTCATTGCAGCTTTAATGAAGATATTTTATTTTAGGGGAAACGGTTGCAGTAAAAATAGCTACAAAAGAATGTTCTTCCAGAGAACAAAACGCACTAAACCTAAGCCACAAAAACATCGTTAAAACCCTTGAAATAGTACAAAATGCAGAAAACAATTATCAAACTTATAGTTTGATAATAATGGAATATTTACCTAAGTGCAAAAGCCTTCAGGAGGTGCTGGAAAATTTGCACGAAGAAAACTCTTCTACGCTGGAGCAATTTGCCATAGACATTACATCTGGATTAGATTATCTACACAAAAATGGAGTTTTGCATTTGGATTTAAAGCCTAAAAATATACTGCTAGTGGAACCTGGAAATATTTGTAAAATTTGCGATTTTGGAAATTCTGCCAGAATAGATGATAATTTAGCGAATTTCAGTCATAATGTAATATGAACTTCAGCTGTAATGATTGATCTTTGAGATGCCTTTTTTTTAGGGAACTGTTATTTATACAGCTCCAGAAATACTATTAGGCAAACCACCAAGTGTTAAAAGTGATATTTATTCACTTGGTTTAGTTTTTTGGCAAATTGTCTATCAAAAGAATCCATTTTGTGAATACGACACCATGGAAAGTATCATTTATAATGTAAGTATGTAGGTACATATTTTAATTTTTATTATATGACTTTGATAACTAATTGCTATAGTTAGGATTAGTGGCCTTTGTGTCGAAAAATTTGAAACTCTACTGGTATCCAAGATATTTGTATTGTATAGATAAAATGTTTTACATTACACGTAGGGTAATGCTTATTACTACAATCGTATGGTTACCTACGTGGCAATATTCCATTCTTTAGTCAAACAGTAGGTATGTATAATACACGACTCATACCGCACTTATATTTTTGAATAATTGTAAATCAACAATAAGGTAGGTACTAAAAATACTATCCAGGGTTGCAGTTCCAAGGGCATACCCAAGATCTGAAATAGGGGGGGGCTGACCAAAAAAAAAAAAAACAATGGATTTTGCATTTCTCTTTTTAATTACTAAATTTTGACATAACTCGCTTAATTTTTACTTCAATAACAATTTTCTTGGATTTGTCGCAAATTTATTTAAAACTTGATTTTCAAATTGCTCTCGATTTGATTTAATTAAATCAAGATGCACACTCATGAGACATAATCCTGTTAACCTTTCCTCTCCCATGGTACTTCTCAACCAAGTCTTCACTCTTCGAAGAGTACTGAAGGATCGTTCTACAGTGGCCGTGGTGCATGGAATTGTGATTAAAATCAAAAGTGCCTGTTTTAGGATGGGATAAAAAACATCGTTCTCGTCGAGAAGGTCAGTTATTTCGACGTCTTTTCGCTGGTCCTCAGTTGACTTTTTTTCCTTCCACAAATTATACCATAGGTCCATTTCCGCAGTAATATCGTCCAATTTATAAAACTGGGTAAAATATTGTGCATTTTGTTCTACTTGATTGGTTTCCATGTCGAGCATATATAATGGATGTATTTTTGTTAAGGCAAACGCTGGAGTATGTTCTTGAGAAAAGCGAATATTTAAAGAGGCTATAATTGAATCCAGATACGGTATAATTAACGAACGCTTCCAGTAGTCACTATCACAGTCTGATGGAGGATTGTTTCTATGTATTTGCCTCTTGGTAATTCGAGGGATAGAAATTTCTATTTCCAATTCCAATGCAAAGTCTTGTGCTTTTTTAAGTACTTCATCAATAACTAGGTCGGCATCTTCACGGTTTTTCTTCAGAACGTTAAGGATTACGTTCAGATGTTCTTGCAACTTAATTAAATCCATAGTTTTTGCTTGCAAGGCATTAACAACCGGCTCCAGTAAAGCTGAATATTTTGCAATTATAGTTAGGGCAACAATTAGTGAGGGTTTGGTAACGGCGGCATGCAACTGGTACGCAGATTTTCTCGTGGCGTAGTTTCCTTCGATAGATAGTTTTTCAAGTGATTTCACAATTTCGAGGAAATTTTGTGCAAATAAGCGAATACTTTTGTATTTTTCAGACCATCTAGTCTCACACAGTCGTGATAGATTAGGAGCGGAACTTCTGCGAGTGGTGGATTCCCTGAAAAAGGTTATAACATCCTTTACGGTGGCAATAGTGTTTCTAATTTCCGGAACATTATTTGCATCATTGACAACAAGATTAATTTTATGGTTTGAGCAATGAAAAAATAATGCTCGTGTGTACTTTTTCCTTAAAATCGCTTGTACGCCACCCTCTTTGCCCGCCATCGTAGCGCAGCCATCAAAACCAAGTCCTACACAACTATGCGGTGAAAAATTATAGCTAACTAAAAAATTGTCTATTGCATTGGCAATTGCTGGGGCATCCTGTGCTGTCAGCTCCACAAAACCCACAAATTCTTCTCGGACTTTTTTTTTACTTTCATCATAGAAACGCAAGCCAATGGATAGCTGCTCCTTTCCTGAAACGTCGGCTGTCTCGTCGGCTAAAACTGTGTAGAACATGGCTTTCTTTGCATCATTTATCACACTCTCCCTAATAACTTCGCCACATAAATATATGAGTTGGTTTTGTATTTTTGGTGACGTATAAACAGCATTTCTACGACACTTTTCCAGGTGATTCTTTAATTTGATGTCGCCTGACTCAACTCGGAAATTCATTAGATCGAAAAAAACTCCCTCATCTGCTTCTTTTCCTCGTAGAGGCATATCGTGTGTGCCACAGAATACTACACAGGAAATAATAGAGGCCAATATTTGCTTGTTCTCTTCGATTGTTTTTTGGTGGAAACTTTGAACTTGAATGTCCACAGGTATATTTTCGAGAAAGGCCTTTGCAGCAGCAGATGCAGATTTGTGAAAGTTATTGGTGGCATGTTTACGACAATCTTCGTGCATATTCCTAAACTTCGTAAATGGTCTGATCATAAATGAACCTAACACTCCCCTTACTGTGCCAGTAGAAGGAGGAAATAAAACACAGTGCTTACACAGAGCACCCTTCAGTCGCTTGGAATACACTAACCATGGTGTGTATTGATCTAACCAAGCATAATTAAATTTTCTTCGCAAATGACTGGCATCGGCTGCAAAATCGTAATTCTTGGGTGGAACCCACGGATTTTTTAACAACTCTTTTTTTCTTTCCATCGTCAGGTGAAATGTTTGTCCTACATAACGACCCAAGTCATTTTCGTGGCAACCATCATTCTCTTCAATTTTGGGATTGACTACAGAGCCAGATGTTGACGGTAAAGATTCTAAATTAGGAGCAGTGACTTTGTTAGATCTCAAAGAATTTAGCGGTTGCTCAGATTCAGATTCAGTTTTAGATGGGCTTGGCGATGAAATTTGATCATTGTTATCATCGCTCCCGCTGCTACTGTCATGTTCTTTTTTCCTCTTGAGAGTTTTAGTAGCTGCAAAACACAATAATGCCGCTATTAGTATTTTATACAGTGTGAGTGATATCCATGCTAGTGTTTTGTTTAACATGTAACATGGAAAAAAACATTTTGTTTTTTTTAATTGGAATTTACAGATATTACACAAATGTCGTCGAATGTAACTTACTAACTGTAACTTACCTGTTTGAAAAAATTTCCTGAGGTAGATTCAGCAGATTTTCCAATAAGTACTGTAACGTTTTTAGCGTGAACTTGTTCGACTACGATGTGATAAAAGCTGCCAATTAATTAAAACTATACTTTTATTAACACTTAACTTAAATTCACTCTGATTAATTTAACTAAACACACTAACTAGTTTATGTAACGCCTTGTATCTTGTATTTATTTATAAAAGTATTCTATTCTTCAACCCGGCACTGGCGAAATCTGCCCTCGCCGCCCGACATTGTTCCTTTTATATCCGAAGCGCCTGCTTCTCGAAGATTCTCTCCGCAGCACGTACGAAGCTTCGCGCTGCGTCTCGAGAATTCTCCACGCGGCCGGGAAGAGTCAGAGGCGGACTCAGGGTAATTTTCGTTACAGTACAATCTAATATAAATTTCTGACAATGTTTACTAGTGTAACGTAACTGCTAACAACATAGCATAGACGTTTATCAACAAATAAGTAAATTAAGTTTACTAGCAGTACTTGCACAAACAAATTAACATTGAATAACAAATGAAAATAATCGAATTCCGTTAGAAAAACAACACAATACAACAAATTCGCAGGGGCCAGGATCGTAATAGAAAATTCATATTTCTTTGCTAATTCCGCTAATTGCAAATCTAGTAGGCTGTCCAGTGCGCTGCGTTTGACTTACGTAGGTATATGAATATATTTTAGTAGTATTTAGTAGTATATTTTTCGGGTTTGTAATTTTTTTAGTAAAACCATAGTGGTTTATTTTGATTTTTTTATTTTCTGCACTTAGCGGAGCCTTTTTATAATTTATAAAAAATTTTAGGGGGGGGGGGCAGCTGCCCCCCCTGCCCCTCGCTGGGTACGCCCTTGTGCAGTTCAGTTGCTACTACTCTTATCTCAGAAACGGAAAAAGTTCACGAGGTCGGTTACATTGGAAAAAGTGCCATTTAGGGCAATTACGTTTTTTCCAGTCTATTTAGTGAAATACATAGATATATCAGGTACCTTATCAGGGACGAATAATACAGTAGTGTCGTGATAATCCGGATCAAATAAAACCAGACCAATCCGGATTATCGAATTATTCGGATTACTAAGGCATTTTACAGTCTGCTTTTAAAATTATTTTGAGAATTTCATACATCTGTCAAAACTGGTATTCCAACAATAAATTGACATGTTTTGATTGTTGATTTGAACCAATCAGATTGTAATTACGTGATTATATGCACTAGTGCAAATTATCAGATAATTGTATACTAACTGGTGCGAAAACTGGTGTTTTGACATTTTTTGACAAAAAATTTAAATTTTTGATTTATGAAATTCTCTCATTAAATACAACTCGTGCAATGGAAATATATTTATAATTTTCGACAAATTTGCACTCATGCGTTTTTAACTGAAAAAGGCAATCGTGCACTACGTGCACTCGTGCTCTTTTTCAACTAAAAATGCATTCGGGCAAATTTCCCAAAAATTATCAATAATTTCCATTGCACTAGTTATATTACTATTGAAAATATAACATGCTGAATTTAAGCAAAAAAAAGCTTTATATTTATTTGAAAAACAAGACAAATGAAAAAAATAATTCTATATAGAGTGCGAAATATGTAAGTATGTACGTACATAAGTGTAAAAATAACTAGTCAATATTGTTCCAACTTTCGTTTACATTATTTTCACCATTTGAATTTTGTCCACCTTCTTTGACATTTTTCTGCACCGCTTGGAAGAAGTTGGTGATTTTACTTTGATGATTGCTGTGCTGTCGTTTTTCAAAAGCAATTTCTTTAAGGTTTTGTAGCATCATAGACATGTGAAAACTACCTATCCACTTGAACGCGGTCACAAAACGACAAGTGAAAACCTGTGCTTTTTTAATTAGTTAGAATTAAAACTTCCATGAAAAACGGTGGAATTGTTATACCACATCAAAAAATTCATAATTGCGAAATCCCAGAATGATGATAGCAAAAAACAGATTCGCACTGACACCAATTTTAAATAACTCTACCGAGCCTGAAACTTTAGATTTTTCACTTCACAAGCTATAAAGATAGAGAAATTGAATAAATACAAAATAGAAGAAATAGACTTAAATTATTTTAATAACGAATGTCCCAACCCCACAGAATTAGATCTCTCAAAATTTCACATAGACCCTTTTAATAAAGAGGAACAATATAAGATTTTGAATCTGATTAAAGAATTTTCCGACAAATTTTTCAATGACGAGGACCCATTAACCATTACAAGTAAGATAAAACGCCGTATACGCACCTCTGACGAAGTCCCTGTCTACACGAAATCGTATCGTAACCCTTTCATACACGAGCAAGTAGTGGAAAAACAAATAAGTAAAATGCTAGATCAGAAAATAATCAGGCCGAGCACGTCTCCATGGAGTTCACCTATTTGGGTAGTCCCAAAGAAATTAGATGCTTCGGGAAGATTGTTATTGATTCTAGAGGGCTCAATGCGAAGACCCTAGATGAGCGCTACCCTCTGCCGAACATCACTGACTTACTGGACAAATCAGGGAGATGTCAGTATTTCACGACCCTAAGATTTAGCGAATGATTTCCATCAGATCCAAATCTACGAAGACGACAAAATTAACTTTCCTTGTCATTATAATGATGATGTTCCAAAGACAAAAAAACTTTCGTAATACCTATAAGATCTGTGATACAATTATTTTAATGACAAGGAAAGTTAATTTTTAAATGTAAGTAGTAGTCAGTATGTTCCTAATGTCCACCTTTTAATTATTTATTTATTTATTAAATTTTTCACGTCTTTTGTAGTGTCCTGAGGATGCAAATAAATTTTGCGAAACGTCGACAATTTTGAAAAAAACAAACTTCCGTTGGTGTTTTTTTTTCCGATCCTACCCCAATCAAAACAAAGCAAAATATCTTAAGAATTCTGTTCAAACTTTTATAAACAACTAAAACAACTGGGGGGTACCTATGTCAGAGAAGCAAATACGAACGACATCCTATTATTATTAGATGAATATAACACCGGCAGCATCTAAACTATTCGAAATCATACACCTCGACACCTACAGACTCGAACAAACCAAATTTCACACTATAATAGATACCTAGCTTTTCTAAGTATGCTCAAGCATATCAGAATTCAAAAACACAGTTATCACGGAACTACTCAACCTACACAAAATCAAAGTACATTTTTGTTCACCTAATCACCCGCAATCTAACGGTGTGATTGAACGACTTTATTCTACCCTAGCAAAACACATTCGTTTACTCAATAATCAAGAATTTGCAAAATCATAAATCCTTCAAAAAATGGTATACGTCATCCTGGCCTATAATAACTCAATTCATTCAACAACGAAGTTAAAACCCACTGACGTCATTAATGATCATATTACAACCAACGACCCATACAACATACAACTAAACCAACTTCTTTCAAGCGATTATGTTAATAATTACAAAGAAAAAACCAGATTAATGTACTCGGACATCAATAAAAAATTATTAGAACACAAACAAAACGTAATTTCCAAAATAAACGTAAACCGTGATAAACCATCAGTTATATTATAAAACCCTATGTTATTATTATACAAATAATTCTCCTTACAATGATAATTTGAAACACATACAGCTTTGATTAAACTGACATATATTATATTTCATCCTCACGGGTACCGTTACCGGAGACCCCGACAAAATCGCAATCAGGAAATTTGAAGGCAACCCAGGAATTTTACCACTGCAATTAGAACACGCAAAAATCACACAATACAGTTATAGGTTTTTTATGTTATATTTAGGATGACGTCACGAAAAAGGACAGACAATGTTGTCAATATCTATTTTTTTTCTTAATATTTATCAGAATGTCTGAATGTCATAATGTGTGAATAAATCTGATGAAAGCTGAAAATAACGAAATGAAAATGTTTATAAAAGCTATGCAACGTCGCGCGCCGTAACCAACCAAAAACATCTGAAATTCCCCTACTTTGAATGCGTTAAAAAATACTTTTAGTTTTCTTAAGTTGGAAGCAGAAATTTACTAAATGTGACGTCATCCTAAATATAGCGTAAAAATCCTATACCTACACCCTTATACACTACTTTGATTTAAATCCAATTTTGTAAGCACTAAATAAACTACACCCATGATCCGAAAATATCATGAATTGGCTAATACTACACTATTAATGTTAAGATAGAAAATAAAATTAAGGAAATTTTACCGCATCTTAACAAAATTGAACCAGGTTTAGTAAATATTATAAGTTCCGTTTTCAAGTCTATCACAGGAAATTTAGATGCATCCGAGGACGAAAAATACGAACATTTAATAAAAAATTTAGAAAATAACCAAATTGATTTGGCTCAAAACATTGGAATTCGAAATGCTATTTCGGCTAGCGTCATCAATAATTTTAATGCCTCAATTTCCACAATAAACTAAAACCAAAAAATCTACATACCTATAGGGAAATAGTTATTTTCCTAACAAGTGCGCAAAGTGTTACTTTTCCGCACGCAAACACAGTTATACGAACGACGCGCAGCGGAGTTCGGATGAGTGTTTGCGTGCGGAAAAGAAACTTTGCGCACGTGTTAGGAACAAAATTTTTCCTACGAGCCTCATATCAGGTAGGTAACAACAAAAATTTAAAAAAAAAACGATAATTTGTTCAATTATTTTCAATTAACCTGAAGCGAAACTATTCATTTATCAAAAAATTACATAACAAAAAAACAGGAAATTGAAATCCTCGTCAGAGCTGTTCATCTTAAAGCGTTTAAATTTGATGCGAAAGAAGTTTGTAGATTCTTACATGTAAATTGAGAACACAAATCTGACAATGTGTCAAAGCTTATTATATTCAGTGTTTGTATAGATGTTGGCTGATACCTATAGAAACAGAGGAAAAATTTGTCATCATGTGTCAAAGTCGACAGGTGCTTGACAATTATTTTTACTTTTCGGCACTCAGTGCGGATAAGGCCCGTATCCGCACTGAGTGCGGAAAAGTGTAACTTTGAGAACGATAATGCGTGCGGAAAAGTACTACTTTGCGCACGCTCGTAGGAAAACATATTTATTTTATGGCCTTGCACGATATCAAAAATTCAATAACATATTCTAAACTTAAAATCTTTCACCCAAGTATCATAAGAGTTGAAGATCTCTTGTTTGAATTGCAAAAACTCGAAAAAGCAATAAGCCCTCATGAACTACCTAGGCCTGTTAATTTAGAGACTGTACTTATTTTTGAAAAATTAATTGACGTCGATTGTTTCACTCTAAATAATAAAGTACATTCTTGCTGCGGTGGGAATCATTGCAATTGGCACATACTCTTTCAACATCCCTCGTATTAAGTCAAAATTCTAAACAATAAATCCATTCAGTGCAGTGGTGTACGTGATATTTTAACCCTTATCGACCTATTTTCTCCTTAAATTCATGATCGTGCTACTGCCAAAACCTAGGGCTAAGGTAACTGATGGAATTGTCTCACCTTGTGCTATCATTTCAATTGGCGCTTACTTGTTTAAAATTTTGTCACATTATCGGGGATGCTCATAAAGTGTGTGCCAATTGCAATGATTCTCACTGTACCAATAGTTAATCATGATATTTTTGACTATTTCCATTTATACTCTTTTCCAAGTAGGCATAAGAAAGAGTCTGTTCATGCTCGTCATACCGCGTAAGAAATACCTTATTAAAAATCAATCGCACTATAAATATCAAGGCACACCTTGCAAAGAAATCCTACCAAACTATTCGAGAAATTCGAGAAACGCATAAAACACCTCTGCCTGCCGACAAATTGACGTCACAGATACCCGGCATATAATCAACCAATTAGAAGGATCCCATCAATGGATATATTGATCCTACCGAACGAGGTCCCTACCCAACTTAAATGTCCTCTGCAAGAAGAACATGATGCTTACCTCCATGGCAGTTATTTGGTCACGAAATACCCAGAATATCGAGTCTATGGACAATTATCATTTGTTTCATCCTCGTTATAAGCTGTCTACATTTATTACAGAAATAAACAGGATGCACAAAATGGTTGCAGAAGAAGAAGCCGCCCTCGATGGAAGCCACACACATTGATCTACCCCTGTTCCACCCAGAATAGTTGAAACTGAGGATGGAGGAGTTATCTCTCGGTCAATTCCCTATACAGGGTGTCCCAAATTCGAGGGTGACCATTGAGATATCGGAAACTATAAGAGATACGAGGTCCGTTAAATTATGTCAAAGTTGCGCAATTTTATGACTAATAAAGTGCCGTTTTGAAATTTGAAAAATTCCGAATACTTCCGAAGATATTCGGGAAAAACCGAAATTTTGCAAAATAATTTTTATTTTTTCCTGAGTCTATTTGAAGAGCAATTTTAAAATAAATGTCACTTCATCGTTGTCACTTTTTCCCCTTTACAAGATGTTGCTATAAAATTTCAATAAAAAATCTGAAATAAAAAATAAGGGTCCCTATTTAGAAAAATAAAGTTGATGATGGCCGCCCAAAGATGAAACGTCGAATCTGAAATATAGTAGCAACATCTTGTAAAGGGGAAAAAGTGACATTGATGAAATGACATTTATTTTAAAATTGCTCTTCAAATAGATTCAGGAAAAAATAAAAATGATTTTGCAAAACTTCAGTTTTTTCCGAATATCTTCGGAATTTTCCAAATTTCAAAACGGCATTTTATTGGTCAAAAAATTGCGCAACTTTGCCATAATTTAACCAACCTCGTATCTCTAATAGTTTCCGATGATATCTCAAATGGTCACCCTCGAATTTGGGATACCCTGTACATGCTATGAGGTTGCACATACTGAGGTTGCATTTTCAACCTCGATATAAGGAACATCCCAACCAGGCACGACTGGTTCTTCATTTTCTTTTTTTATATGCTGATTGCAATGGTATTTTTTTATACAGTTGTCTTTCCGATCGTGTACAGTCAACCCAAAACCGAGTTCGACATATCGAACAGTATTACAGTATAAGTGGGTAAAATACCATTTAAGGTTAATGGGCAGAGCGGAAGACGATCTCTGCAGATTCTGCTCAGACGCAATAGAAACCGCAGAGCATCTGCTCTGCGAATGTCCAGCCCAATTCTGCAAGAGGCTCAAATTCCTCGAGGGGGCAACACTATCACCAGAAGAAGTGGGCCAACTGACACCCAGGAAAATAGCTTCCTTCGGCAGAAGTCTACGCTTCCTGGAGACAAATTGAGATGTAGAGTCACGCACAAAATATCTGCAAAGGTAGCAGTGCTGAGCAGCTGAAAAGCCGAAACGACTCCCCCGAAATCTACAATCTACAGTATAAGTGGATAATAAATTTCCTGAAATTACCCCTCACGTAAAAATACCCAAGAATTCTCCAAACCCACATTCCATATTTTGGTAATTACCCCGAAATGTTGATTAAAGACACAATACATTTATGTCCACGCTACCCAAAGACCTTATAAAACTAGTTTTATGAGGTCTTTGACGCTACCCCTCCTAGAAGATAATATGCATAAAATACCCCATACTGAATATTTGAAAATTTAAAACTTAATCTCAGTCATCCTGTATATTCATATTTGGTTCCTACCGCGTCAAGTGCTGCCATAAACATGAGTCTTGTTTTTATTAAAAAAATCAAAATTTTAATTAATCAAACAGGTATTTACAGGTTTTGAAAATCTAATTAATAATAAACATTTAACCGATTACCAATAAAAGGGAGTTTTCTACTACGTTTAAAGTCAACAAATCTGGTTACGACTTATCTGACGTTTTATTTGCCATAATCACCTTGATATCTTCAGCGTCCAACGTTTCGTACTTCATCAGAGCCTCCGCCAGGGCTTTGTGCTCTTTTGCGTGAGATATCAGGATTTGTTTGGCCCTGTCGTAACTTTCCTTTAAAATCCTCTTGATTTCGTTGTCGATAGTTTCCGATGTCGACGGTCCTAATTGTTCCGGATAAAAACTCTTCGGGTTTTCCGATATGGTTCTCAGACCTAATTTCTCAGACATGCCCCAATCTTTGACCATGTGCGTTGCGATCGACGTAGCCTGTTGCAAATCAGAACTGGCACCAGAAGTGATTTTTTCCGGTCCAAAAATCAACTCTTCAGCGGCCCTGCCGCCCATCATAGTGTCCATCATTGCCTGCAATTGAGATTTGGTCACGTGATAACGTTCCTTTTCTGGTATGTAAGCGGTGTGGCCCAAACTCGGTCCGCGTGGGATAATGGTGACTTTGTGTAAGGGGTGGCTGTCTTTGGTGTTGAAGGCTACAATTGCGTGACCACCCTCGTGGTAGGCTGTAATTAGGTTGGTTTCCTCATCGGGGATGCGAGATTTTCCTTCTGGGCCCATGAGAACTTTGTCCCGAGCAGATTCCAAGTATTTCATCGTGACACTATCAGCACCATCTATTGCAGCTTTCAATGCTGCTTGATTAACCATATTTTCCAAATCAGCCCCTGTAAAGCCTGTCGTACCACGGGCCAACAGCTCCAAATCTACACCTCTGGCCAGTATTTTGCTCAAATACAAGCCCAATATATCTTTGCGCCCCGTATAATCCGGTGTCGGCACAGTAACCTCAACATCAAATCGGCCTGGTCGCAGAAGGGCCTGGTCCAAATCTTCTCTGCGGTTTGTGGCTCCCAAAACTATGACGCCTTCATTTTGATGAAACCCGTCCATTTCGCTCAATAGTTGATTGATTGTTTGATTAGCGTAAGGATGCAGGACGCTGTTGGTTCTTTTGGAACCCACAGAGTCGATCTCGTCGATGAAGATCACGCAAGGAGCGCGTTCCTTAGCAGCCTTAAATAGGTCCCTGACGCGTCTGGCTCCTTGTCCTACCAAAACTTCGTCAAACTCCGGTCCAGCTGCATGAAAAAATGGAACTTCAGCCTCACCTGCAACTGCTCTGGCCAACAGGGTTTTTCCAGTGCCGGGAGGGCCTACCAATAACACGCCTTTAGGTAATTTGCCCCCCAAAATTGAAAATTTGTCAGGATTTTTCAAAAACTCCACAACATCTTTAAGTTCTTGTTTGGCTTCATCTACTCCTTTAACGTCATCAAAAGTAACATGGATTTCCTCGGAGTCCACTTCCACTTGATTTCCTAGCTGAATCCTGAAAACCGATCCACTAGCGCCTGCCATTAGGGTAGCAACAATAGCAAAAAAAAAAGCTATGGTCAATACATGCTGGACAAGTCTGAGGTATCTTGAAGCCTTATTGCTATTACCTTTACCACCTCCAGTATTGCCTAATAAGTATCCTTCGGCAAAAGCAATTTTCATTCGTTGCTTTTCATTGTCAGTTAAGTGGATATCTTCAAGTAACATCTTCTTTAGTTGATCTCCATTATTGGGCGGAAGTTTCGCATCGTGCAGATTGATTTTTAATCGATTTATTAACGTGGGATTGCGTACTAGTTCTGCTTGTATATTCCGATCAGTCTTGAAATGTCTTATTTGAATGTTTATAGCGAACTTATTGTCATACAACCTTGGAATGAGTTTCTGAAGATTTATCCTATTTTTATTTGGAATTTTCATAAATTCTTGTTTGTTTTCGAAAAACGATTCATTTGATATGTAGGAGACGTCACTTTTGTTTTTGTGAAGTAAATTCAAATGTAAGTTGCGAGCAAAATCATAATCACAGTTTTTGAGGGTTTCTGCGAAACTCTCCGGGCAAATTAACAGGTTCTGCGGCTGCTGCTTGGACTTATGGACTTTCTTGTTACGAAGAAAAACTATCGAAGGGGTTTTAGATCTGATTTGAGTGAGCGTGGCGAATGCCCAATTCTGGTTTTGAAACGAAAACATAATTATTAAACGTTAAATTGAGTAAAAACTAGGAATTTTTTTTTGATATTTTTTTTGGTAACCTTACTTTTTTTGACAAAGTCAACATTGTTGACAGTTGGTGCATAACCGCGTTCAGTAATTGATTAGATGCGAAGTGATATAGGGCCGGTTTCTCAATAGCAAGTCACCCCCGGGTTAAGCATAATGCATTCACTGTTCTGTTGGCAACGTTGTCTGGGTGTTATGCATCAGGGTATTTATTCTTGAAATAGGGGACCAGCGTTCCCACGAGAACGAGCGTTCCGTCTTTGTCACTTTTATTCTGATTTGCATATCATTGAGAAAGACGAAACACTCGTTCTCCTGGGAACTTTGCTTCCCTGTTTCAAGAATAAGGACCCAGAGAATTTCTGTTGGCTTGTTGTTGTGCCGGTGAGTAGATGAATAAAACAACGGGTAGAAAACTTTCAGATGCAAACATAGTAAATTCAAAGTTTTCATAAGTCACTGCGACCTCCACTTGGTTAGTAAGTATAATTAGAAACTTTTTATTCTATTTAACTTTAATCTAATCTCTACTTGAAATCTGGATACCATAAACAGTCAACACTGCTAAAAGCCATCTCCTTACATCGTTGGCTTGGTGGCTCCAACAGTGTAGCCATCGTAAAACGCCGATGGAAAAAACAACACTTATGATGGAGCATCGACTGTTCTTTTGTTGAATTTAACAACGCTAGATGCTCAACACTGCCAACGTTGCTTCAACAGTTGAATAAAACAACATACGTATAACTCCAAGGTAAAGTCGTTTTTTTTTTAAAGATAAAAGTCAAAATGACATTATGTTGGCAATACAATGTGAAATTGTCAATGATTTCAAATTTTTTATGTAGAAAAGGCTTATGTTGCCAACATAAAGTCTGTTTTTTTGTAAAGATAATTTCCCAAGTCAAAAATTAGGAAACCATGTTGGCAATCAATATACAGGGCCGCCGAAAGCCGTGACGGTGACGGGCCCCGGTAAGCATCTAAACATTCCGGTATAGGATTCGGCACCTAGGCATATTTCATTGGTCCGTTTGAATTCGGACCGCCAATTGATGCGGAGTGCCGAAATCGGTACTTGAATGTTGAACGGTGCTGAGCCTCAGGTCAGAATTGGTCCATTAGCAACAGCCATGTGTAGTGCCGAATCTAAGGTCAAAATGTTAAACAGTGCTGAGTATCAGGTCCGAATGTTGCCATACGTTTGGCGCGGTTTTTATATTAAATCAGCTGTCCACCTCCTTCCTGTTCCTCTTAGCTACAATTTTGCGACGGATGCGGTTTATTTCGCCGTTGCTTCATGTGTTCTTGTGCTTAAACATGCAAGATGAGTTTGCCTAGATCCAGTGGCGACGCGTGACTTGCAGTCTGGGGGGGGGGGGGGTAATGGGAAGATGCGACCCCCCGCTAACGCGCCGCGGGCGAAATTTTTTGCCAATTTCAAGGTCATTGACTTTTCCAGAACGATAATTTACTTTGTGAGGAAAATAAAACAAACAAAAAATGTATTTTCTTTAATATTATTATGTATTTTCTTTTGGGCATCGTGATTTTTCCCTTGAATTTTGGATCCTGGGGGGGGGGGGGGTAATTACCCCATTACCCCACCCGACGCGACGCCCCTGCCTAGATCATTTAAACACTTTGAATGTGGTGAGCAAATTTACCGAGCCAACATTTTAGAGGAAAACAATATAAAGTAATTGATAGAAGAGTATAGTGATATAACATACACGAATTGGAATGTGAAGTCAGCGAAAAATAATTATAACAGATTCAAATGCAGGTTTGTGTTCAATGTCAAGTCAATGACGTAGAATCTTCTTGGATGCGAATAGACTTTGGAAAATACATTTTTTAGATATGTTTTTGCATGCCATCATAGTGCTTATAAAAAAGTGGATCAAGGCAATAATAAGAAAGGAAAATCCAAAAACTGCTGTTGCCTGGCTGCAATTGATATTTTAATTAAACTAAGCACCACGACACCAAAAAAAAAAGATAGGTACCTATATTAGGGTATTTATTTTCAAAATTTTCTATTCTAATTTGCCAGGTTTCAGGTTTTTATAATCCCCCCCCTGGGTCCGCCACTGCAAATTATTTGCCAAGATTTTTTGAAATGTATCGTTGAAATAAAATAGATGTGTAACAAAAAGTAAATAAAGTTTGTTTGTTGATTTTGTGCCGCGCTAACGGAGTAACATTCCAACCTGCAGCTGGGCACTGTTTAACATTTTGACCTTTGATTCGGCACTCTACATAGTATATGTATATACCATTCCGACCTGAGGCTCAGCACCGTTCAACATTCAAGTACGGATTTCGGCACTCCGCATTAATTGGCGGTCCGAATTCAAACGGACCAATGAAATATGCCTAGGTGCCGAATCCTATACCGGAATGTTTAGATGCCCCCGGTAAAGAAATAATAAGGGACCCCCCTTTTTTTTCCAAAATTTCATTACCTATATTTTTTATTTTAAGGTATAAAACTATGGAATTTGTTGTTGTTCCGCCCCCTCCCCTCTCTTGTCGGGCCTGAAATATGCGCAAATTATTTATTACGTATTGTGGAGCGTGGCTCCCGTTTTTATCTTCATTCTGCCTTTTTTGATTTAAAGTGTGTTTTTGTATTAAAGATAATTCCCCAAGTCAAAAATTTAGTAACTTTGTTGGCAACGCAAGCCTTTCCTACATAAAAAAATTGAAAGCATTGACAATTTTACATTGTATTGCCAACATAATTTCATTTTGACTTTTATTTAAAAAAAAAAACAGGCTTTAATAATAGTATATTCATGGGCGCCGCCAGGATTAGTTTCAGGGAGGTGCATACGGGCAGTGGCGGCGCGTGGATTAGTATATTGGTTCAAACTACTAATTTAAGAAGCTGAATGCCCGACGCAGGAGCTGCCGGAGGCGCGAAAATTTTTCCGGTCGCCACGCCCAAAAACGGTTATTTTGAGCTTTCAAAAAAATAATTTTTCTAGGCGATTAAGTACAACGTACAAAGACAACTTGTGGGGGGATATTTCTTGTACAAATGCCACTAGAGCACTCTCCAGTGGTCACAACTTCGTCAGAAGTACCAACCCCAAGTCAATTAGGGGAAAATGGGATTCGAACACCTATGTATACCTCCAGAAGTGGACGGTTGCTACACAGACCACGTCATCTCCAAGACTTCAATGTGAGTTATCCGCAATATCAACCTCGTTATGCGGAGGATAACCAATTTGGAACAAATAGAAGTAATAGAAACCAAGGTAGGATCGAAACCAATCTAATTAGTACTAACAATTACAACAATGGTCCCAATGCTGCGGCTGCGGCTTTTGAGGCAACTGCCACGCCTGCTCCAGATTGGATACGCTCGCAGATGCAGCATCCGGGGGCACAAGCACAATTTAATCCATCTCCAAGGCAAGTTCCTGGTGCTGTGGTTCCAGTATTTAGTGTTTCTGCAGAGGATGTCACCAGAATAGTGTCGCAAGTTATTGGAGCGATGCAAAATCTGAATTTAGCTAATATTAATTCTGGTTCATGTAATAATGGTAACAGTAGTACTAACACTAACAATGATAGGGATAACAATAATTATTTTAATTCTTTATTAAAAAATGTAGGAGAGCTACCCAGTTTTGATGATCGTGGTAATATACATCCAATTAATTTTTTGAATCAAATTGAAATGCGTTTGAAGACAGAAAGTTTAACTTTCAGAGAAATATATTGTATTATTATAGGGCTTTTCAAGGGTTCTGCAAAAATTTGGGCGGATGCTTTTTTGGCCAGTTTTATAAGTTACGGGGATTTTAAAAAAGCTTTCATAGAACAATTTTGGGGACCTACTAGGCAGTTACAGGTCAAATTAAAGATCGAATCGGCACGGTACGAGGACGGTGAGGGACCTTTGATGGATCATCTTAATTATTATGTCAGTCTCGCTTAGTATTTGACACCACCTTTTCCCGAGGCCCTTTTAATTGCTACTATTGCCAGACATTTCCCGCCTAACGTCGCGGCTATTTTGATAGGGGTAGACTCATTGGAAGGCGCATTATCTCGTCTATAAGGCAGGCCGATTATTATTTTAACGGGTCCACTAGAAGCTCTTTTCGGGGCGAGATTCGAGGTGGACGTTCTCAAAGAAACCCAAAGTACGTTCCCAATAAAGATCAAAGTGCCAAATTTGCAACCAGCAGGGGTTTTGATCACTGGCGTAGCCAGGGGGGGGGCAAGGGGGCATTTGCCGCCCCCAAGACCCTTAAATTTTATGAATATTTCTTCAAAATTAAGATAAACAGTCCCAAAAATAGCGTAAAGAAACCTGAAAAAGGGGCGTGGCACCCAAAAATTTCGCGCCTGCAGCGCTTTGCCTCCGGCAGCGGTCGCGGTAGGGCCGCAAAAGACGCTTCCTGCAAATTTGCCCCCCCCAAGACAAAATCCTGGCTACGCCACTGGTTTTGATACTGGTTTTAAGAAAAGTATTAATAGTTTAGAATGTCAGGAGGTCAATTCGGAAAACGACCAAGAGTCCGAAAACTAGACCCAGTTTCGGCTCGTAAAGTTGAAAGGGTCATTTTAAATTCAAATCCTTTTGTTAATAAAGAAGCCGTTTGTGAGTTGGAACATGAAAAAAATGAGTTTAGGTGTCCTTTTGGTAATGTAAATGTGTATGGCTTCAATTTTCCAGCTCTTGTTGATAGTGGCAGCGAACTATGCTGTGTTTCGGAAGAAGTATGGTCTCAATTGGAGCCTTTTCATTCTATTATTCCCAATTTTCCATGTGTGAGTATTAAGGTGTCAGGAGCTTTTAAGGGTAAGCACAGAAAAGTTGCTCTACAGACAGAGATGGTTTTTGGCTTGGGCGATGCTAAGTTAACTCATGAGTTTTTAGTTATAAATAATTTAAATTGTTCTGTGATTTTGGGAGTTGACCTTTTACGAAAAGTCCAGGCAAATTTGGATTTAAAAAATCGCCTGGTTTTGGGTTTTTTCGCCGGGCAGAAAGTGGTGGTTCCCGAGTTGCCGGATAATCATTTTTTGCAGGACAATGAGGAAGTC